TCTCGTTCTCAAAGTTTGGTAAATGCAGAATCAGCTGAACTTCGGTGGGTTAGGTTCGTTACTTGTATATGCGTGCAATATAAAAGCTTTGCAGCAGATCTGCACAGTGCCGCACTAACCGACCTACGATTTTGGTTTCTTCTCAGTCCTATTACTTCACTTCACCATTACCTTATCAGGTCAGGTTATTGCCATTTCCGATTCTACGGTGTCCTTCTCCGCAGCATAGGCCTTTGTGGAAGCTGGTCAACGGACTCTTCACTGACTCGGTATCAGGTCAAGACAAGGGTAGGTCAGCAGTGACGGCTGCAATCTGGTGCGTGTGCAAAGCGTCTATACACCCTTTACAAAAATCCGCGCCACCGCCTGTCCGTCATTGCTTGATAACGTTCTCTGAGCGCGTATTGGACACGAGCGCTGACGTCAGCGTTCGGCGAGGGCTCGGATCCTACCAGACGCTTCGTGTCCAAGCAATGGCGACCGCCAATGTTGCTCGATGGACTTTTGAAAAAGGTTCTATCGGAGGGGCTATATTTCTGCCGCTCGAGCAGTATTTAGCACAGCAGGTTTAACCCTTATTTTACGATGAACGAGCAGGGGGACCAAATACGATACGGGGGACTGCTGCCTAAGGTTACGTGTTTCGTCTGGAGTGTCACAAAATGGCGGACGCCGCTCGTGCGAAGTCGTCTGGAACTCGTCAAAGATGTCTTTTTACTGGAAGTGTTTGGCCGTTATTCGAAGATGCCGACAGTCTAGGAACATCTATAGCCTCCTATATTGGGGAAAAGCCCGCGCTTTCGGCGCCGGAACAATAGGCAGCCAGAATGAGGTAAAAGAGGGAGGACGAGTGGCAGGCGAGAAGGAAAGCATTTGTAGGCAGCGCCACACGAATGTGGTAACGCGAACACACACACAAAACGAAGGAAACGACCGGCTCCTGACCCTTCTCTCCTAGTAGAAGTGTTAACGCCCGTTCACACACTTGCGTTTGAGCACAACCGACTTCGACACGACCGGCATTTAGCCTCTCCGGTCGTATGCAGTCGCATGTGTTAATGGGACTTTAAAACCAGGTTTTTAACCTCTCCGATCCTAAGAAGTTGTAAGTCTGTAAACAAGCCTTAAAAAAAATGGTCTTGTTTTAGTTGGTCGTGGTCAAACGCAAGTGTGTGAACGGGCCTTGAGGGCGTGCTAAGCAAGTGGCGAAGCAGGGTACGTCTAGTACTACGTCGTGAAAGAAAACAAGTTAAAAAAAAAAGTTAAAAAAAAAGGAAACCAGTATATTCGCGACTCCAGCAAAACGGACGCCGCCAAGCGGGAAAACCGGGAACGAGCCGGTCCAGGTCGCTCCGCGCCCCGCCGCGTCTCTGATGGCTTTCGCGGACGCGTGCTGTCGGCGCGGCGGCGAGCAATGTAATTTGACGAAGGTCCGAAAATTTCTTAAGTTTGCCTGAGTGTTCATTAGTGTGGTGAAGCCTCAGTAGATTGTTTCTTTCCATCACGTGTTTGAAAGCCCGTTTATTTCACAACACACGGTCGCGTGCTTTCAATTTTTTGGATGGGGAGGAATCACGGAAAAACGTTTTGATTTCTCGTCTGTCTCTAATGACAATCAAAGTGACGACTGCTTGGTAACTGATAAGCGGTTTCTTTATAAGGATGTAGAACAGTAGACTGAGGTCGACAGACAAAGTGTTTTACTGGAGGGGACACCGATGTTGCAGTCAAGTGAATGGGAAGGTTCGATAGCTGCTTTCCTTGAGTCTGGTTGTGCTGGATTAGCTTCAGGTTAATTTGAGCCACTAACGCCGGCCGGTGCGTTGGCTATTCATCTTGGCGGCTTTTCGCCGAAAAAGACCACATTGAAGGAGTTGGGCTAATTTCGCAATTACTTGATTCAGAAAACCTGCTTGCTGCATATGATTAATGAGGGAAATTATCTGCTTTCAAAAGGTGGGGGGACGCGTCTCGCAAAGATAGAAGCTGTCACGTCATTAGGATCTATCGCGCCTCCAATACTTATAACCCCCGTCGAATCCAGCAGCAATATACGTCTACATTGCTCAGATTGACCGGCCACAAAAAAAAAAAAATACTAATTTTATTTGTTCAGGATTCAAAGTCAAGCTCAATGCAGAGAGGTCTGAGTGAATCTCCGATGAATACTCTCCTCAGCTTGTCCGCATTCGTCTCCGTTCTACCGGCTAGAACCATTTGGCTAAGTTTAAGTAGTATCTCTCTGTCTGTCAAATATACTTTTATTCAGCAGTTCACCCTAATAGTTAGTCAACTAAGTTCATATTTCAACCCGAAGAACATACTAATATCGCTTTAGTGGGACCATAGTACGTAATATAATACATAACCGCATATTCATCAAAATGACTTCACGATTGCTACTAAAACCTGAATTGAAATACGAGTATCAGCTGCTTAGTGAAGTGCCAGCGAGTTGACATGCTCCTTGGCTCAAGAAGCGCTTGCTTAATTTTCGTAATTTTCCTGCAGCCTGTGTTCTTGACCGAGCACACGACTGCAGCTGTTTCTTGAAACGCGGACAGGCACAAAAGTTCGATTTCGCGGACAGGTAAGTCGCATGATCGAGGCATGCGAGTTAGCTAAACATTACTCTTGGTGGAACAATTTTGTAGTCATCGCCGCTTTCCTTAGATGATCAAAACTAATTAGAGTCTATTACCGTTTCTCCGGAGCCCATAGTTTCGGTTTTGATCGGTCTCCGCAGCGAAAGTTTGACATGAAAAGAACAAAAAACACCGGCAAAACAAAACTATGCTCGGCAAGTTTATGCGCACCGGCTAAACTTAACTGTCTCAGTTCAAATACCCATAAAATTGGGCATTCAACAAAAGAATAATTGTTAAATTGAATGCGCCACCCATCCAGGCGGCCCGGCCGAGCCGAAGCGACCTGGACTCAGCCGCCATGTTTGTTTGGTGGTGGCGCCCCCTATAGGTCGCTGGAGTCGCGAATAGAGAGTTTTGGAAAGTTCCCGCGTAACTCTGAGGGGCAACACCATCCTTATATCCTCTTTCTGTGCTGTTGTCGTTCGGCCACCCCCAGGATTGGCGGCCGGTTCTGGCGTCAAAAGCGCGCAAGTGGGTTGCTGACGTCAAAAGCGCGTAGCTTCCCACATTTCGTGCTTTTGTCGCGTGACTAACCAGGGCCGTCCTTCGACGAGAAAAGGCCAGCACCCGAAATCCGAAAAATATATATATGCCCCTCCCCGTAGAAATGGGGCCAAAACTCTTGCCAAAGCCACTGGCAGACGGCGACGTAGCGATGACCGAGTCGATTCATGGATGGCGCTACCTCCTTATCGAGACTGCTCGCGACGACCCTGGTCTATTCAAGGGGTCGTGAAACGATAGCAGGTTGGAATGTTCATGATTTCACAGAGGCGCACTGGCCCTAGTCTGGCCCGTATACTCGCACAGACCGTCACTGATTCAGGCACTTCTTTGTCGCGCTGAAATTGCGAGGATGAAAGGGAACCATATCTTTCAGTCTTGCCTTTGCAAAGCTGGATGACGTGATTGTGGGATCGAAATCACCCGACTGACGACAATCGACTGTGTGAGCACTGGACTTCGGCACGTAACAGTCAATGCTTCGGCTGATACTCGGGTCATGGCTTGTGTACAATCACTGCGGGGATGAGGATAGCCCGAACTTTAACAATACCTGGAGATCAGCACACGTATTTTACTTTGCCGACCCCAACGATAGGCACCAGACCACGTGGCCGCTTGTTCTGGCTCCGAGTTGAGGGGATTAACGAGGCTCATACTTCTTTTAAATTTATTTGCCGACAACCATTGCTTAAAAAAAAAGAAATTAATTTTAACGGACTATTAACGTTAGGGAGGGGTCCTGAGTAGTATTTAGCGGAAGTAGAAAACTCGTTTCATGGACCTCTTTCAGATGAACATAATAATTTTGTAATGGACCTTTTGTTAAAAATAATAGCAAACAATAAAATCAAAACTTGAAGTAAAAAAAAAAGAAAACACGGTTGCATAACGACGGCATTCTTGCTGCCGTGGGATTTCGCTAGCGTATCTTCTGCTTTCTTTCGCTGGTCGGCTACAGCTTCCGACGCTACTCCCGACGCTACCTATCAATGCCTGCGCCAAACGCGCCCGGCTACTCGAGTCCGTCGCAGTCCGCCGTAAACCCTCGGAAGTCTTTTTGCCCCCCTTTTTTACAGAAAAAGAGCTACGATTTGAAATTTTTCGAGATAAAACTGACCTGTGAACTACACAATATGACGAATATTTTCAATTGCTACGTGCAGGCGCCGATTTTTACCGCCCATTTTAGATTGAGCCTCGTTAATTCAGACAACCTATATATATCTTAATCGTATGGGTGAAGACGAGGTACAATGAACGTGCAGCATATTTTGAGCTGCGCTGGACTCGGGAGACACGCTAAATTATGCGCTAAATTTAGCAGACTTTCGGCGACAAGTTAAGAGTGAAGTGGAAGCTCCTCCTTCAACCTCTTTCCACTTTAGCAGAGTGAACGCTGGAGAGGGGCTGTGAAAAGAGGTGGGAGGAGCTTCTACTTCACTCTTAACAGCTGTCACCGACTATAGCGTGTTACACTTTCCCGGTACACATTCTAGATCAATCTATTTTTTTTTAAAATTAAATTGTTAAACACAATGTGTAAAAAATGAGCCGAACACCAGGGCTGTGTTCCAAATCTTACCCAAATGGATCCGAGTTACTCCGGCGGATCGTATCACGTGACAGCACAGATTAAAAAACGCTGGACGCGGGTAGGTTTTAGAACGCCAAGGGTACAAAATCCTTACCCTGACGTAAGATGGAGTAAATTTTGGAACACGGCCCAGAAGGCCAGTCTGAGTTTGATCTTTTTTGCCAGACGCGTGGCAAGACGCCGCTAAATTAACGCACAGAGCCGAAAGGACAACGAGTGACGTCATTAATGCAAAAGGTAAGGGGACCTACCTCATCGGCTTGAACAGAGCCTGCCCTCCGTTTTCGTAGTCGATGATGAGCTTCAGTTGGGTGCCGCCATCTTTGAGCCCTGCCAAGAGAGTGAGAACCATCCATCGATCATCCCATAAGCGCGTTTCCTAAAACAAACACATCGACGGTAACAAGTAAAATATATAGAAAAGGAATACACGTGCTTCGTCATGCCGACAAAAGATCGGTGAGCACAGAATGGCGCTCCCCGGTCTTTGCGTGGTGACGTCACGTCACGTGGTCAAGTGACGTCAATCTCCCCGTTAAAGTTAGCAGGAAATTGAGATCAGGTGACTTGAGGTCGCACGACGTGGTGACGCGACGTGAATATCCCCCGCTAAATTTAGCGGGGGAGAATTGTCACGAGTGTTCTACGTAACGGTTCTTCGTAACGGTTCTTCGTGACGGTTTTCTCGTGGAAATAAACTAATACAACGCATTATAATAATAAAAAAAAAGAGCTGAACTTAAAGCTGGCGCCGTTTCATCAACTTGAAAAGATGCTCGTCTCGACACTGGCTTGTTTACAAAACTGATCGGTGTTCCTTCCGCGAACAGTTGGCGCGGCCGTTCCTTCCAGAGTTTTCGCGTCCCCCCAAAAAAGCAAACAAAGGAGCCACAAAAGTCGGTTTACGCCAGGGGTCGCCTCATCCGGACTTCCAGACTCGGCGTCGGGAAAATCGCCGTCGCCAGCAACCGTTAATTAACTGCGCAATTAGCCAGGCGATCTCTTCCAATTACCGAAATTGTGCAAAAAAAAAAAAAAAAAAGAAGACGGCAGGCTGACGTTGTGGATGTAATCTGGTTCCCCTTCCTTTTTTTTTTATTTCCCCCTCTCTCTTTTTATCAGCCGTCTGCGATCGTAGAGTGGGAAACTCATTAACCACGGTTTTGGAGACGTTCCAACCTCGTTATAACGAGATGTTTGATTATCGGCCTGCAATTAACTCATAAATCGTGGCTTATATTCGAGTGGTTCGTCTGGAGTCGACCCGAGAGTGCTCCACGCATGCGCTCTGAAGGCAGTTCGGGTCGTTTCTTGCAATTCAAAACGTGATTAACAAAAAAAAAAAAAAAAAAAAAAAAACATATTGAACATGCGTATTTATTGGACGCCGTGTTTGAGGGCGCTGTGTCGAGCGCATGCTTACAACGAGCTCACATGAATAGGTTGCTAAGAGCTTCAATCTCGATGGTGCGGAATGCACGTTGTGAAACAACTGTGGAAGCTCGCCGTCGCGCACACAGTTATGGCCGTCAGAGAATACCCCCTACAGACGTTTTCTGTTTCCTGTCGTCCTCAGTCACGGGGGTGCCCTGTCTGGTATCCGGGACGAAAAAATAATAAAACATCTCAACTTGGAATGTGCGAGAAAATATAGGGGAGGCAGGAAAAGAATGTGTGACAATCACGATTTTTTTTAGTAAACATCTTTTAGCGGCGCGGAGAGATCAAAGCAATATGTTTTACCGCACACCAGAAGTGACCCCATTCAAGATGGCTGCGCCCTCGTGGGAAGGTGTATAGAGTCAGCACTACGCCGAATGCGGACCGAGGGACTGTTATAAAAATGTACATGATATTTTCCCGCTAAATTTAGCAAAAAAAAAAGAAAAAGATTCTCCCCTACATTTAACGGTTTGTCCAATAAAAGCATTTTGTTTTGAAAGCTGCACTTGTTCTGTTTTCGAGCAGTGCTTGTACTTGGTCTGTCTAATGCAGTAGCGTAGCCAGAAATTTTTTTCGGGTGGGGGGGGGGGGGGGGGGGGGGGGGACTGAAATTTGATAAACCCTCTAAAAAAAATTCCAAGCGTAAGAAGTACCTAAGAAATTTTAGGGCGTACATATGCTAGATACATCTGCACTGATCCGTTCGGCTTCCGAGACGCACGGACCGATACGCACGTCGAAGCCAAGCACCACGTGGTTTCAAACTGGCTCGTGATTGGACGTGGCGGCCAGTAGTTTTGGCCTTTACTGCATTGTAGGGTGAGACCAGAACTCCGGAGGATGCGACGCCACCCAGCGGAAGAGACGCAAAGGTGAGGAGCGGGGAGTCACCCATCCACGTGTGTGTACAGCGAAAACTGGCGCGGCCTTACGGCCGCAATGTAAAACAGTGGAAAGTGTCTTAAATGCACGCCGCTGGAGTCGCGAATCAACTTTAATTCGTCGTTCTCCGAGCTCTTTTATTGAAGAACGAGCTTGTCATGGAGCGTTCGCGATAGGGGTTCCAGAGATTTCAGAGCTTAATGGACCCTTTCTCGAAACCCCATCAAGCAACATTGGCGGTCGCCATTTCTTGGCCACGAAGCGTGTGATTGGATACGAGTCCTCGCCGAACGTTGTCGCAGCCGTCGTGTCGAATACACGTGCTCACAATACGTGCCCACAGAATGGCTGACTCGAATACTTAGCGTAGCAGCTACCAGACGGCACACAATTTTTGAAAAAGGTTCTATTGCCGGTTGCGTACCAATCCGGCTGAAGTGTCCATTCAGCCGACGGGTCAATTCAGCTTCAGGTTTCGATTCGGCTGGACGCCCCATTTCGGCTGGACACTTGAATTCGGCTGTACACCCAGCCGAAATGCAGCGTCCAGCCGAATCGAAACTTTAGACCGAACTGGGTATCCAGCCGAATTGGAGCGTCCAGCCGAATGAAAATTTTAAGCCGAATTGACCCGTCGGCCGAATGGATACCATAGCCGAATCGAGATGACACCTCTATGGCCACACGATAAATTTCAGGGGTTCCATAGCTTAGCTAAAAGGAAGAGAAAGCTCCCGAGGAATGACTAGATGTTATGAATTATGAGTGATTGGCAGCCATAATTACCTGCAACTTTAGCGGCGTACAAGTTGGCACGGTCATTGAAAAGGGCACCCTCTTTCGGATCGCTGAGTACCGGAATTCCAATCGACACATTCATTTGCAGAGAGCTCTTTTCGAGGCGGATGAGAGCTCTTGATTAACCGTATCACCCGCACAGAGCAGCCAACCGGGGCAATTACCTCGGATTAGCCAGCGTGTCCTCCTGCTCTGTCCTTCCGTCCTATTCCGACATATTAATGTGTTTCGTGAAAGGCTCACCTCTCGTTGCGCTCTTTGCACAAAAGCTGCTTTGCTAAACTCGGCAACTGCTGTTCTCTGCTTATATGGGTCAGTGACGTATAAATATCCGAAAAACTCGGGATTTTGAGCACGACAAACGAAAACTCTCCAAAAACTCGGAATTTTCGGCAAATAAAGACCAAAAAACACCCTCCTGCTTTTGATCAAAAACTTCGAAAGCATAGTCATACAGGAATGTATACTTGCGCAGCATTTCTTTATTTGAAGCCCCTCTTTTAACGTAGTACTATACTTTCGAAGAAGCGGAAAACACCGCTTCGTCTACGCCCCGGGCTTAGATCGCCCTGGCGATGTAGTTTGGTAAGAAGAGGACCCATTTTGTCGGGAACGCGGAACCTGTGTTGAAGGCCGTACACTTACACGACTTTCGGCTAATAGGGTTCTTATATAGCACTCTTCCCTCTAAAAAAAATAAATAAATAAATAAATAAAATTAGGAGCGGTAGAAGTATTTACACAATGGAGACATCTGAGGGGGGATTTATCTCTGGAGTAACAAAAACATCATCCTTCTGCGATGCGGCAGGGCGACGCCGACTCCGCGGTAAGTGAGAAGGAGGGACGCTCAAGCACAATAACCAGTCCCTGATTGACGGCGGATCAGTTCGCTTTCACCGCTATTTTGTCGTTAAAAAAGCGTCTTTGGTGCCAAATCAGGAAACCGCTCTTCTACGGTGGTGTCAAGAGTGGAAACCACGAAATTCGACCGCTAACGCTCACATCCCTCCGACTGCCAACTCGTACGTGGGAACGAGGAAGCAGGGGTGGCAGTTGCTCCCGCTGTGGACCGTCACGCTCACCCTTCCGCGAATTCCTTCTAAATGTGAGTGAATACCGCTTTGGCTCCAAAGTCCTCTAACACCTGGGAATGCAGAATCTAAGGGACGATCGTTTAAAATTTGCTTACGAAACATTAAACAGTCTTTTCGAGGAGCGAAAAAAAAAAATCGAATTTGGGGGTTTTACGTGCCAAACCTACGACGGGCATCTGGCACGCCCCAGCGGAGGACTGGGGATTAATTTGGACCACCTGGGCCCGTTTTCTCCAACGCGAACCGTGGTTTAAAGTTAACTATTGTCCCTAGAAACGGGAATTCCAGGTCACGTGACTGGGAGAGCAGGGGCGCCGAGGGAGGAGCAGTACCTAGAAGCAAAATGGCCGCGGCGTCGCTTAATGAGGGCTAATAGTTCTGCTTGGTTCTGCTGAACATTTATTTCGATCAGGCTGTTATATTAATGACTCACCATCAACCTATTAGCACGTCAAGCAAGCGATAGTTCAGAGGGACTACTAAACTAACCGACGGCAGCATTCCGCGAACGCATCACTCTTCAGCAGTCCGGGATCCAAGACATATGACGGTTCATAAGCCTTGCAAGTGTTTTTATGGTGAGTAAAAAAAATGTTTTGCGAACGAGTGTTGGTACATATTTATACTAAGACGTTTAATTTGTTACACTATGCACGCCAACTCGTGAGCAGCGATTACTTTGCGGAGAAAGGGGGTTATCCTCAATAAAGTCTTCGTTCCGGGTGAACAGCTCAGACATTGTACTGTTTTTTTTGTTCACAGTGCGCCGACAACATCGAGGTTTCTACATATCCCCGGTGGCCAGCAATTCAACGGTGACGAGAAGCTTAGCTTCTCGTCACCGATGAATCGGTTGGGCAAACGGAAGAGAGGGCAAACAGTTGAGATCATCAGCAGGAATCGCAGAAACGTGCGTCGCAAGGAACGAAAACGAGACTACAGCACCGGCGTTGCCAGACTGGAAGAAACACGGGAAAGTTATACGTTGCTTATGGCGAAATATATTGAAGGAAATGTTTCTTACATTTTCGAATATTCGTCGACAAACTCTAGCATAGTGGCTAAAATTTCTTCGTACCATCGGAAGCAAATAAATTGGTCTTCAAGTAC